CCAGCCTATGGGTCTCCCAATGGTCCAGAAATTTGGGAGCAGGGGAACACAAATTAATGCTGCCACCACTCCCCTGCTCCCAAATTTCTAGAGGCCCTTGAGCCAGATGACATGGACCTGTGTGCTACGTTGTGCTGACATGCAATCAGGCCAACATAAGGGGCCAGGCCAGATCCAAGCATGTGGGACCAAAAGGTTGAGTACCACTGAACTATGGAATAACCAATGTATGAGCAGAAAGTAGTAGCTGGCTGTGTTAGTTGGAAGTCAGGCAAAAGACCCCCCTGTCGTTATCATAGTCTCACCTGTACAGCTGAAAAATAATATAAAGCATGATAGTATCATCTGACTTGTGTTTTCAAAGTAACCACAGACAGAAAAAGGCACCAGTTGAACACAATACAAACCATTAAGGAAAAGCACTTTTGACCTTTGACTTCTCTACATGGAAAGGTAATAGAACAACTCCCCTTACTTAGTAAATAAAATGATCAATGCCATCCACACACTGGCATGGCTGGTATTCAGCCAGCAGAGGGCAGTGGTATACATGCACATAAAAGCAGTCAATCAAGTGAAGGCAATGTTCTTATTGTTAGTTATTATTTCATACGGTACTGACTTGTGAGTGTAAGTGTGGAATTACAGTTTGATACAGACGTTTCTTAATCTGGCCCCTGACATCCTGTTATCCGGATGGTGCTGGGCCTGATCTTGGCATGCAGTGCTGAAGGATGGTGCACACCCCAGAGCCCAATCCGGGCATGAGGGACCAGGCAGAGGCAGTGCAAGGCCCCAGGAACTGATCCTGGTGGGGAGATGGGGGCCACACACCAACCCTAGTTCACAGGGTCTATTCCTGCCCCCAAACTGGCCCTGCATCCCTCTGGCCTGCGAGGCCTGAAGGTTGAGTACCACTACATTATGACAATTACTTGCATGTCAGAAATGTTCAAAAGCAGGAGTTGTACCTCAGGAGAGCATGCTTAGCTTTGCTACCAAATAACAAAACATCTCTTCAGAATAAAATAGAGGCTGAGAAGACCTTCATTTATCGTATCCACTGTACCATTTGCTCATTTGCCCCGATAAGGGGTTATAATTGAAGGGAGAGCATGTTTAGCTAGCTGTGTGTCATGGAATCGCAGAGCAGTCGATATCTGCTGCAAGAATGAAAGGATGTGAGAAATAGTCTGAGTTTAGAATAAGAGAAAACTGTACAGTGCATCTGGTAAAATGTACTTTGGTGTGTGGAGAAGTGTTCTGCTTGAAGAGTCTCATAAAAAGAAAAATAACTGTTGTGGGTCTGTACTCTGAGGGAGAAGGATAGGTAGGGAAAAGACAGTTGAAGCACCAGAGGTGAATTTTCTACTTTGTAAAGTAACTTGAATTTTCACAGGTCTAAAAATTATTAGAAAATACTGGAAATAGTGATAGCTGAGTGAGCATCCTTACAGCGGTGCACAGTACTCATTTTCCAAAGTCAGCACTGACCTAACCTGCTTAAAATAGGTCATGCCTCATTGTATTGCTTACCTATTTAGATAAAACTAAATTCCTTGCAGAAAATGAAACAGCTTTAGGATGCATCTCTGCTATCTCTTCAACAAGGATTGCCCTAAGCAGCAATGACCCATGTATGGTAGAACTTGATAGCTGGGACCAGCTGCACCATATTATGGGATGTGACTTGATCAAGGGAACTTTCAGAATAAGATCTACCTGAACTGGGAAAAAATGCTTATTTTATGGTATCTGATCAGTCCCTCCTGGGGTTTTTTTTTCGCCTCTCTCTCATGATTCAAAAATAGCTTGCATTCTAATAATTTAAAAAGGATGAGTTATTCGCAATACTAATCCTGCAGGGGTGAAAAACACCATTATCTTCATTTATTTGTCTCCAGAGTTCAACCTAAAGCGTATGATAACCAAAAACAGTAAACATGTTCTCATAACATGTTATGGAGACTTTTAAAGTACATTAAAATAATGTCATAATTACGTGGGGAAAATGACTCTTATGCTAGCTTACACATGTGTAAATTGAGACACAGAAGTTTGAATTTGTCCAAAATTAGTGGTAGTGCCAGGAATAAAACTGATGATATGCTAGAAGTTAATGCTGAGAAATATAATTTACAGCGAATTACACACAACTCCAGTCTTGTGTGAACACACGTCCTCAAAGTTGAGCAAGCAGAAAAGAGAGATAATTCCAGATGTAATTACCCTCCATCCAGAATGTGCTGTCTCCAACCCTGCTCCTTTCCAAGGCTATCTCATGCTCTGGCATTGTAAATAGGAGTGCCTAACCTGATCAAAAGAGTTGGGCTAGCATAGTGTGTTGGGGAAGACTTGTAAGTCATGCATTTTGACTTGTGGCATAGGCTTTTGTGTAAAGCTACACTTCGTATAAAAATATGCATGCCATATTGTTACCAACAGAATGAAGCAAAAAAATGCTAACATAATTAGATATGAATGTGTCTAAGTGTTGCTTAAGAAAGCAAATGATGCTAACAACCTTAACTTCTACAGATGTTAAAAAGGCAATATAATTCACTTTTGGATTGCATTTTATATTTATGCCTGTATTAGATGTTTTACAAACTAACTGGTGGTATACTTTATTGTGTTTTGTTTCCGTGTGTGTGTGTGTGTGTGTGTGTGTGTGTGTGTGCGCGCGAGCGAGCGGCAGGCAATTATTTCAGGCAGAGGGCCACTTACACAGTTTTGGCAAGCTGTTGAGGGCCATGTGGGTAGCCCCGCCCCGCCCCGTCCCTTGACAGGTGCCCTGGTCACCTTCTTGGGATCAATGTCCCAGGGCCAGCACCGGTGGGGCCCAAAGCAGGGCACAGGCTGGCAGGGGTCTGTGGAGCCGGGCTGGGCTGCACCAGCAGGGAGAGGGGGGAGCTGGCTCAGCTCCATAGAGCCCCGCTGGCATGGACCCTGTGCTTCTGCCACCCTGCTCTGGGCCCCGCCAGCACTGGCCCTGGGACACCAGTGTGGGCCCTGTGCTCCTGCTGGCTCCCACACTGGCTCACTCCCAGTGCCCCGCAGCCCCGCGGTACAGGTGGGGGGCAGTATGCAGCCCCAACCCCTTGCTCCCCAGCAGGGAAAGA